AAAAAATGAACATAAATACTTTTGCTGGTTTTCCCGGGTACAGAAGGACAAACCAAAGATATCATCAAAAATGATCATTTTTCAATTCTTCACACATTTTTCACACCTTCTTATATTGCTACCCAGTGTTGATGGCTACATTCTTAATTTGAGCAATGAAATATTTACAGACTGAAGGGAAGTATTCGTTTCCTATGCCTGCTGTAAGAAAGTACTACGAGACCAGTGGCTTAAACAACGCACATACATTATCTTACACTTCTGGGGCTTAGAAGCCCCACATTAGTTTAACTCAGTAGCAAATCTCACAAGGTGTCAGTGGGACTGGTTCCCTGGGGAAGCATCAGAGAATCTCCCTCTCTTCCAGTTTCCTAAGGTCCCCTGTTTTGGGTTTTGCCTTGGACTTCTTTCGCTATTATAAAATTCAGAAATCCAGAATCTTCCAGTTTTCTGCCACTTACATCTTCATCTCTTTAGATCTATTTCCTCCCTTTTATAAGGACACTGAAGATGACCATAGGCTTGTGGAGATATTTTAAATAATCTCATCTCAACAAAACCAAACTCACTACCATCATGTTGTCTCTGACTCCTAGTGATTCTATTGGACAAAGTAGAACTGCCCCTGTAGGTTTCTCAGACTGTAACTCTTTACTGGAGTGGACAGCCTCATCTTTCTTCTGCAGAATGTCTGGTGGTTTCGAACTGCCAACCTTGATGGTTAGCAGCCCGAAGTCTAATAAGTCACACTATCAGGGCTTCTCATCTCAAGATCATTAATTTAATAATATCTGAAAAAAAAATAATAATATCTGAAAATCATTTTTGCCATATAACAAATCTGCAGGTTTTGAGGAGTAGGATGGGGATATTTTCAGAGGGCTTTATACAACCTACAATATGTTGAAGCAGTTCATAAAACATTTCAGCCTAAAATATTGAAGAATTCTGTTCACATACCTGACCGGTAATAAATATTATATTATGATACTGCAGGCCCTAATATGTCTCTGAAGAGATGGATTTTTCAATCTTGATAGTGCAGTGGGCTACATGGGCTTTCAACTGCGAAGTCTGTGGTTCAAAACCATGGAAGGGTTATAGTGTCAGAAACCTATGGGGGCTAGTTCTACGTCACTATGAGTTGAAATCAACTCAATAGCAGTGAGTTGGTTCTGAGTCATATGAAACAATGTCCATAGAGACTTCTGATTACTATTTCCTTAATATTTTACAAAAAAGACAAAGATGTAAAAGGATAATGCATTTTAATACAACTCTCTTAATTATAAGCACCATCAATATTATACTTTCACTACTTGATATATGAATGCACATATATTCATCTTTATACTGCTATGAGGAAACTTCAAAAAGTTCATGGACAAATTCAATTATTACATAATTCCATTTCCCTCTACACTTTCAGACCCTTCCTCATATGAGCATGTACTCATTTTTTTTGCAACAAAATGAAATGTCAAAGGATACAAAATAAACTAAACTTCCTTTTACCCACATAGCCTTATATCATAAACCTTTCCATACCATTAGATGTTCATTGAAAACAAACTTCAATGTAATACTCTTAAAAGAAATAACTTCCCCCAAATTTGAACTATCCTATTTCGAATGGTCTTGTTTGTGTTTTATATTGGCATTGTTTCATAGAAGTTTAACTAAATAAAGAAAATACATACCATTTAATTATAAAACAAACAAACAAAATATTGCCATAAATTTGATTCCAATTCATAGAGAATGTAATAGGATCAGTGACTTTTTTTTTCTTTTTCTTTGGTAAATCCTTGCAGGAGCATAGAAACTCATATTTTTCCTCCAGAGAGGCTGATAGTTTTTGAACAATCAACCTTGTAGTGGACCTTAGCAATCCAAAACTTACTCAACATCATTGTGAATACCCAGGCCAAGAGGTAGAAAGCTGCTTTTTGCATTCTTCTTGTTACCCACTCAATGTAAAAAATGTTCTTATTTTGTGCTCACTTCAGGAGCACATATACTAAAATTGGAACAACACAGAGGAGACTAGCATGGCCCCTGTGCAAGGATGACATGCAAATTCGTGAAGCGCTCCATATATAATTTTTTTTCTTATTTCAATTATAACAGATCAGTTCTCTTGGTACTTGAACATCATATAAATGATTTCAAACTGAATAAATATACAATATATTCTGTTTATTATTAATTTTTCTTTCACTCAACAGTGTTTTTGAAATTTATCAATATTGTCCCAAGAGGCATTCGTTTATTATTTTATATTCCTAAGAAATAGAAGATTGGATACAAACAAACAGAAAAACTGTATATACACACAATTCATTACTACTTATTCCTAAGAAATGGTGATGAAACCTTGAGAGACCTGATGACATGGAGGGATTTCAAAGACATTATGACTGAAGCTAGTCACTCACAAAAGGACAAATAAGGTATGAGTCCACTGCTGTAGAAACAAACCACAGGATGGGAACAAGCTCACCCTTGCAGGGCATCCAGTCTGCTGGCCAGGGTTGTCCAACAGCTTGCTAGAGAGGATGACTAGTCCAACGAACCATACACCATCTCAGTGTATGTTGAAGGCCACTCTGCCTGAGGGCACCTCGTGTCAGCTGGAATCAAATTGTTAATGGAGAGGAAAAGGATGTTGTCTGTTGAGTGGCTGCCATGCAAAGCTATGATGAGGTCCCCCAGACAGGTAGACAACTCTCTTACAGGACTCAGGGATGCTGATGGAAACTCACATCAGAAGGGGGAAGGGAGCAAGGCATTTAGGGGAGCACAAAGGCAAGACTGCTGGTAGGAAAACACGGGAGGACAGACCTCTTGTTTGGGGAAGGAATGACTAAAAATACCTTTGGAGACTCTGGGGGTGGGGCATGTCCCTGGTGGTCTGCACCAAATAGGCCACATTGACCTGGGCTTCTGGGTGCATCCTGGGGACCCAGACTGGGTCCTGTGGAACCCTGGGACATTGAATCCTGGGTCTTCAAGGCGCATGACATGCTCCAGAGGCTGTATCCGTGAGAAATGATTTGGAAAAGCCACTGGGTGAACTGGATGCTGCCTCAGGCACACTTGACCTGAAGACTTAAAACTGAAAATTCATGGTGTCTGAGGACATGGAAAATAGTGGTAACAAAATTGTTCAACTGTTGGGAGGCAGAAAAACATGGCATCGATATCCTATATGCCATATTAAGATTTATATGAGTGATATATATGAGATCTATATGAGCAAATATATATTTCAATGAACCTGTGACTGTTAGTCTCAGTGAATATTATTGTACATTTTCCCTAATGATTATCTTCCATTGTTTGTGTAAATAGCATCCAGCCATGAAAATATTGATTGTGTACAAAGGAATAATTCAGATACTGTAATATGAAGATAAGGAGTTATCCTACATTGGCCCAATATCCCCAGGGCTTTAAAAAATTAGCACCAGGAGCTAATCAAAGACAAAATTAACAGAAGATTGTTTTGCCTCAGGGAGATGATTAATAAGACTCTCTACCATAAATTAACAAGGAGGTTTTGAAAGGAAGCCAATGGCAGGGGGGAAAAAAGAGGAAAAAAAAGATCCAGGATTGGGTTTTGGACTCACACTAAATATTAGCCTAATTTAAGAAAAATTAGTTCTTATATCATGGCCTTACTAATACTTGTCCTCAGAAAGGGAACACAGATGATATGGATGCTATAGCAAAATGTGGTGAAAAAATTATATGGTGCCTGGCTATTAGATAAAATAGTGTCTGGGTTCTTAAAGGCTTGTTTCCAAACAAGCAGCCATCTAAGTGAGATGTCAACTAAATCCACATGAAAGAAGCACACCAACATCAGTGACTGAAGGATTGTAAATCATATAATATGAAGGTGAAGGATGGAATAGTATAATAGCCTAGGTGTGAGAATCCAGTTTGCAGAAGGCTGTGGATAACAGTGACAGTGACAGCCCAGGATACATTTGTGGGAACTACATAGGCAATAAGCCTCCAGTGATGTCCCTCTATCCATAATAGAGGGATGGGAGGATAGAGGTTACCAAATAGAGTGCATTGGAGAGATGACTACAGAAGATCAAAATGATAAACCTGACAGTTAAAACCTTGTCAGTTGATCTCTTCTGATCATGTTAGGCCTGATCAGGTTTTCAAATTTTTCTATATTTTTTTGGTTTTCTGTTTGTTCATGTTGGCTTATCTCAGATGTGTGATGTCATTGGGGTCACCCTCTTGAATTTTTGTTATATATTTTTCTGTTTTTCAGTATAGTAGACCCAGGATTCATGACCCCATAAGGACAGCAAATTTCTGAAGGCTATGGGGGGAGCCGGTTAAAGGGAGCTGATGTAAAAGAGTTCAGTAGGAAAAGAATGTTTTGAAACTGATTGGGGTAGCAATTGTACCATACTGCTTAGGGTGAGTAAACAATGGAATGATATGATAACTGTATTAACTCTCAATAAAATGAGTTTGAAAAAATAAATAACAAAAGAAGACATATAGATGCCATTTATCAGACATCAATTGGCCATACATAATAGCATTAAAATTATTTCTAATTTTTATTTTATAAATTATTTATTAGAAATACATTTATTATATTTTAAATAATATATGTATTAATATTTTGAAATAATAATATTTCCCAATAAGAGCTAATTATATTTTTTGTTCTGTTTCAAGGAGCCCAGCTGTAGTAGTAGTTATGAGATTGGATGCTAAGCACAGGGCAGCAGTTTGAAATCCCTAGTTGCTTTTTGGGTGAAAGAAGAGATTTTTCTATTCCTACAAAGAGCTATGTCTCAGAAAACCATGGAGGCAGATCTACGCTGTCCTATAGGGTCACTATGAGTCAGAATTGACTCCATGGCCTTGAGGGGTTCTTGGTTGCTGTTGTTTTTTAATAGATTCTTGATATAGGACTATTATATGGGTTGCTTAGGGTTTTTTTAAGTCATCAGTTGTATACTTATGCATATATGTTTTCTCAATTTATATTTTTCAGCTGATTGTATTTTTAAGTAGATTACTACAAGTTAGATAAAGAAGGTACACACTTCAATATGCTTAGTATTTTTTTATCAAATATGTTTACACTTGCCTACTCTAAAGCATCTACGGCAGCGGTTCTCAATCTGTGGGTTGCAACCCCTTTCGAGGTCAAACAACCCTTTCACAGGGGTTGCCTGATTCATAACAGTAGCAAAATTACAGTTGTGAAATAACAATAAAAATAATTTTATGGTTGGGGAGGTCACCATAACATGAGGAACTGTATTAAAGGGTCACGGCATTAGGAAGGTTGAGAACCACTGATCTATAGGTAAAAATATTATCAATATTAATGTCAAAGTATAATTAGCAATATTATTATATTATTACTAGTTTATCAAATTTATTTTGAAATTTTTCTATTTATTGGAAAAATAATAGATCATTGGAACTGAGAAATGTTTGAGACATCTGAAGCCAAGTTTAGAAAAGAGTACCTAAGAGTGACTGAGTTAAGAGAAAGTAAAAAGAAAAATAAGGAGAAATAAAAAATAAACTTTAGCTACTTCAAAATATTTTCTATAAATACTTAATATTTTTATCTGAAGCAATATTTCATGACCTGGATTTCTGAGCAAAATTGTAAATGTCTTCTTTGCACATACAAGCATTTTTCTGAGAAGAACTTCAATCTTTTTTCTTATATTCTGTAAAAGTCAGTTGCATGTTGTTTTAGAAACTCGTGTGGATCAACTATTACGGTTTTCCCTTGGGAAGAAGATATTAAACCTGGTTAGTCTTTTAAAGGTTCTCTGTTACAGTTTTCAAAAAGGTAGATTAAAACCAGGAACAGAAAATAACTGGCTAGAGTTTATATAGCTACTTAATGGAAGGTCTTGACACTAAAACTCAGATTCTTGACTTTATGTTCACTATCATCTTTGCTAAGAAAATGGTGTGTTTCCCTTTGTACATCACTTTGGGATGGTGATAATTGCTAACTGATTAAGAGAGATGGAAAGATTGTGGGATAACATAAATTGTGAAATTGTGGCCTGAAGACAGAAGAAGAAGGAGGAGGAGGAGAAGAAAGAAGAAGGGCAGACTATGTGAGAGAACACAGGAGAAAAGATGGGTGGGGACAAAGGAAAGCATGAATGAATGTATGAAAAGGGGAAGGAAGAAAAAGATGAAGAAAGGGAAGAGCAGAAGGGAGAGAAAAACAGAAAATCTTGAGAGCATATATTTTACTGTTTAATAAGTAATTATTGATCCTCTAAAACTAAGTGCTGGGCCGGGCATTGATATGGTGCTGATTCATACTCTATGACTTTATACAAAGAGCAGTTGAAAGGGGGTTATAAATGACATGAGTGTCCTGAAAACAGTAATATGACAAGTGAATACAAAATCATTAAACAGGTCCCGTTGTTTTCTCCTCCAGATTGTTCATCCAGCCTATCTTATTTAGACAGACCCGTGGAGATAATAACATGCACAAAAACAAGACAGAGTGAAACCAAGTAACAATATACAGCACAACAACAACAACAAACCAATGACAAAACAAAACACAACAAGAAAGAAAAACTTGCAGATAGTTCAAGGATTGTTTGTTGGCCTTTAGGAATGTTTTCCAGTCCAGTTTGTTGGGGCACCATGCCCTGGCCCCAAATTCCACCTTCAGCGTTCCCTGGGGACCTCGCCACTCCGTTCTCTTGCTGTTCTGTTGCACCCCTTTAGTGTTTTGCCTCGGTGTGGCAAGATCAGATTGGGCGCAATTCCCACACTGTGTCTCCGGTGTTGTCCCCTGTAGAGCTATGAGTCAGGGAGGGCCGTCATGTCTCATAGTGGGGCCGGCTGTGTTTGCCTCTAAGGAGCACTCTGACCTTCCCATACAGATCAGTTTGTCCTTTTGACAGCCCAGGATACCTTCATTATTCTTCTCCAGCAAGACAATTCAAATGCTTCATATTCTATGGTCTTCCTAATTCAATTTCTAACTTTCACAAACATATGACACAACAGAGAATACCCTAGCTTAGGTCAGGTGCACCTTAGTCAAAGTAGCATCCTTG